TGACCTTGTGGTGAGGGGTCGGTGGTGCCTCAGCAATGACCCGAGGGGGGAACCCCTCTGCTGGGAGCCCAGCAGGAGAGAGTTGGGCTTGGGCAGCTGCAGAGGAGAAGGCTCCAGCTGGGGAGACCTTCTGGGGGCCTACCAGTATCTGAAGAGGGCCTACAAGAAAGCTGGGGAGGAACTTTTTATGAGAGTTTGTAGTGGTAGGAGGAGAGGTAATGGGTTCAAGCTGGAAGAGGGGAGATTTAGATAAGAAATTAAGTTTTTCACTGTGAAGTTGGTGAGACACTGGCACGTGTTGCCCAGGGAAGTTGTAGATGCTCCATCCCTGGAGCTGTTCAACGCCAGGCTGGATGGGCCCTTGTGCAACGTGGTCTAGTGGGAGATGTCCCTGCCCAAGGCAGAGGGTTGGTACTAGATGATCTTTAAGGCCCCTTCCAACTCAAACCATTCGATATTCACCCAGAATGTCACCTTGTATTTTCAGTGTGTTTCACCAAGTAACTTATTTCTCCTGTCATGCTCAGGCAGATGATGACCAGGTTCTAGGCTTCCAGCAAACCTTTTTGTTGAAAAGTATCCAAGGTGCCTGGGTGTGCACCAACGAAGTCTTCAGGCTAGCCCTCCACAATGGTTAACCCTCTGCCTTGCCTTTCTTCCACGCAGTCCCCACTGGCCTGGTTGAGTAAGGAGCACTCTCTTCTCACCTGTCACTTGAGCTGGACTGAGGAGCATGGCTGTGGCTTGCACCTTTTCAGAGCTACAGCTCTCCTGGGAGTGTGAATTTTGAAGTGATGGTTTTGGAGTTAACTGTGACTAACTGATTTTCATGTGATGCTTCCTGGTCTTCAAAGGGAAAGGAAATTTGCAGTTTAAGTCACTGGATGTTTTTGTCGTGCATGCTGAATGCTTAGAGCATTGCTTAAAGCCTTTAAATGAGGCTTAACATCTGAAAGAACCTGCCACCTCCAGTAATTACCCTTGCCTCTGAGCTAAGAGTAGCTTGAGAGCCTGCAGTTCAATCAACACAAGTACTATGGGGTGGTGGTGGAAGACCAAAACTATCTCTGACCAGACAAGAGGAGAAAAGTTGTGGTTTGCAACTAAGTTTTGCAGATAAACTTGGATAATAAAGTACTGTTGTATCTAGGACTCTGACATGACCAATGATTCTGGGAGCTGTGGAGTTTCTACAGCTTTGAGCCTCCAGGTCAGAAGGGATGGACTTATTTTAAGGGCCTGTAATGACAGGATGGTGGGTAATGGCTTCAAACTGGGAAGGGAAGATTTAGATTAGAAATTAGGAGGACGTTCTTCACTCTGAGGGTGGCGAGACACTGGCCCAGGTTGCCCAGGGAAGCTGTGGATGTTCCATCACTGCATACATTCAAAGATGAGGTTGGATGTGGCCTGGTGCAACCTAGTCTAGTGGGAGGTGTCCCTGCCCATATCAGGGTGGTTGGAAGGAGTTGATCTTGAAGGTCTCTTCCAACCCAGACCTTTCTATGATGTAGAAAAACTGGAAGAGGTTAAAAAAGTGCCAAATATGCCAGTGTTTGAGAGCTTGTTTTTCTGGGAGAGAAGTTGGATGAGGGCAATAGGTCTGAAATGTAGGTGGAAAGTAGTTGAGTACTTCCAACAGACTGAAAGCAAACTTCCTGGTGGTGCCAGGCAGTGCAACAAGGGGCAGTGGTTGCAAACCGTAACTTGGGAGGTTCGATTTGGACACAAGGGAAAATCTGATTGCTTTTTCTGGATATTCCTCTCCAAAAGATTGAAATGTGACTTGGACACATTGTGACACCTCCATTCCTGGAGGCTTCCGAGACCACAAAGCTGTGGCTGATGCAGTGCTGCTGGTAGTCCTGCTATAACATGAGGCTGGAATGAAAAATCAGAGCACCCTTCCTTTTTAAAGGTTTATTTTAATTCCAGGATGTCATGAAACAAATTGAACGGCATCAAGGAAAGCTTTGTACAAAAAATAAAGCCCCTGTGGTTCAAGCCTGGCCTCCCATTTGGAATGCAAATTTTGAGTTGGACATAGCTATGTTTGGAGTGGAAAGTAAGAGTTAATGATTTTCAGTGAGGTTACTTGAGCTGTGATGAAGATCCAAAATAAAATGGGATGGGATTAGTCTGTGCCTTCTAGAGCATCTCAAGTCACCTGACTGGGACTTTGCTATATGTTAATAGGACGTATTCAGAATTTTGGGAATGGACTATGAATTATTTCATTTGCCTTAAATATAGTCTAGGATTTTCCTGTTTTTTTTAAAGTGCTTTTAAGTTCTTTTTACTACTCCTCTATGCTGGGAAGACAATGTGAAAGAAATAAAGCAAGCAATGATGCTTCACTGGGGGAACTTGCCATCTGTACAACAGCAAGTGTTTTGGGAAAAATTCCTTTTTATCTCTTTTTATCTGTCCAGTCCTGAATTGGATAAGAAAGGAGGAAACTCTCCTCAAGCCAAAGCACTAAGAGCTGCAGTGCAGTTGGGCTTAGCAGAAACTGAGGAAACCTACACTAAAACTAGTCTACTGGTGACACCTTTTTTCCCCAGAGGTGTATTTCTTTTAAAACATACTTGTGTCATTAATGACACGCTCAAATTTGGTGTGAAAACTACTGATGCAGCTTGTCATAGAAGCCTCAAGAAGAGGAAACTATAGGACAACTGAGAGGATACTAAATGTTAGTTAATAGTTATAAGTGGTTTGGACTGAATGATTCTGCCTGGCTCATATGAACAGAGCCATTGGAAAAGGGTGGAGACAAATAATTCATTCCAACTTGGCCCAAAGGGATAACATTAACTCTACTAAGTCCTATGTAGAACTTTAATACACAGCCTTCTGATGGGACTTAGTTTTCTTGAAGATTCCTTCATGTCCAGGAGGCTCCCAAGCAGTAGTGGGACTATACTGTGATGCAGATGTTACATTTGATACCTAGGAGAAGCTAGAAAAGGCATAAACCCAGGGGTTGGTGCAGGGACACCTCTTCAGCATGGAGATCCCATCTTTGCTGGGCAGAAGTAATAGTTAATATTTTCCCTGCAATAATTGGCATGACTGCTTTCGTTATGTGCTAATGAACTTGATGGATGGTCTAACCCAGCATAATTGGTTGTGCTCACACGGAGCCTCTGCCTGATGGAAATGAAGGTGTGACAAAAAGCTGCTTGATTCACCAGCCTGTGGAACAGTGACTTTACTGGCACTTGTCTTGCTTGAGGAATCTTCTCTCATTCATTTACTGAACACTTGACTCACTTGTACTTTTGGCCTTACTTGTTGGCATCTTAAGTTTCTGGCTCTAGGAGTTTCCTCATTCACTTTGGTTTTATAGTAGTTTGTTATCTTGCCCATTTTCCCCACCCTGATCCTGTTTTTGCAAACTAGAGAGTCACACTCAATTTACTTTCTTCAGCAGGAAACTGCCCTATAGCTGGATCATCTTTCTTGTCCTTCTCTAGCCTTTCCTTATTGTATAGCTTAATTTTTTTTAATTAAGTGCATGCAGGATTTTATATGTGGGTGCTCTTTCTGCATTTATGCAGCTGCTTAATTAAGGGGTTTGGTTTGTTTTTCCTTTCCTAATTGCTAAGCCCATGCTTGATTTGATAGCTGTTGAGCTCTCAGTTAATTAAAAAAACAACCACACACACACAAAATAACTCAAACCCAACAAAATTATCCATCACAATTTCAGTATCACTTTCCTGAGAGGCCATAGCTAATTGAGGGTCCTTTTTGGTTTGGATTACTGGACACTTACTGAACCTGCACTTTGTCCCTGCCAGGGTGTTTCCCAGGCAGCTGTTGCTGTGAGATCCTTGCAGTGGGTTTGGATTTGAATGCTGCTTTTCCATGCCCTTGATCCTACCAGTGCTCTGGCAGACTTGCTGGTTTGTGATAGGACTGATGTCCTTGGCGAGTTGCTCCTCAGAGCTGACTTGTTTCACAGTCAGTTGATCACTTCAGAAAAGTACAGGTTTTTTCTGATGTGTTTGTTTTTTTGGTTTTTTTTTGGTTTTTTTTTAAGTCTGCTTTTTTTTTTTACCTTTTCATTTCTAGTTCCAGATGGACAGCAGCAGAGCATTGGGAATAAACGTCCAGCACCTGGACAGTGTTTTGTGTGCTCCTCTGGCTGCTTCTTTTCAGTGCTCTTTTTTTCGTGTATTTCCCCACTTTTCTGAAGCTGAATAGTTGTGTGCTGAAAGAGCAGAGCTCAAAATCATCCAAAAATACTGAGTTACATACACTGTGGGCAGTACCAGAAGATTGTTTTATACCTTGGTCCCATGTGCTGTTCAGATTAAATCCTCTTGTGTGATCTCCAGCTGATCTGGGAATCATTTTATTTAGAAGCTTTAATTCCTACACAGTGGCTCTGGGGAGAGTAGTAAACATTAGGTGGGAGAGCTAGGCTCCCTCTAACACCATTTAGTGTTCAACTAGTGTTTATCATCTTACATTTATCATTAATTTGTCATTAATTTAGTGTTAGATGATAAAAACTGGTTAGATTTTAAACTTAGGCGTTATGAGCTTTGGAATACATTTCTCAAAAAAGAGCTTTTTGAACTCTCTTTCCTCTCTTCCTGCAGGCTGATGAAGATCCTATCATGGGATTCCACCAGATATTTCTATTAAAGAACATCAACGATGCCTGGGTTTGCACCAATGACATGTTCAGGCTAGCATTGCACAACTTCGGCTGAGCTGCTGCCCCCGAGGCACCCGTGCTTTTTGGTTTTCTTTGTTTTTGTTTTTTTTTTTTTTTTTTTCTGGTTTTTGTTTTTTTGGTTTTTTTTTTTTTGGTTTTGTTTGTGTTTTATTTTTCTTCCTCTTCTCTTAGTGGTATTATTCACACTCACGGAACATTCCAAATATCATACACAAACCTGCAGCACTGCAGAGCGGAGCAAGCAAGACCTGTGACCTGCCCTTCTGCTGAGTTTACATTGTCACTAGATGAGTTTCTTGTGCATGATGTTTGGAAGGTAGACTTAGCTGCATTTGACAAGAGAAATTTGTGTTGTACCAGCATGCCTCGGAAAGAATCTATAACGCAAAAGGCTGTTGTCTATGTACTGACAAGATGCTCTATAACCCAAAGAATGGAAGAACAGCCTGTACAGCCCAGACACTGATTTGTTCAGATGTTTCAATGCTACGTTACACAATAAAACCATGAGATTTTCTTAACAGTTTAAATTGTTTTAATGAGTTGAATATGCAGTAAACGGTACCTCTTGCTTTGGATGCTTCTTGTCTGTCTGGTGGGGACATGCTCACAAACCTAAAACTCTCAAACTGAAGAGCAGGTTTTTTTACCAGTGAAGGCAGCTCAGGTGTACCCTTGGTCATGCAGCTTCTTCCCTCCCACCCTCTCAGCAGCTTTTTTGGGACTTCTAGCTTGATTTTTAATCATTGAATCATAGAATGTTTTGAGATTACCTTTAAAAAGGTCATCTAGTCCAGTCCCCCTGCAGTAAGCAGGGACATCCCAACTAGAGCATGTTGCTCAGAGCCCTATCAAGTCTGACCTTGTGTATCTCCAGGGATGGGGCCTCCACCACCTCTCTGGGCAGCCTCTTCCAGTGTTTCATCATCCTCAGTGTAAAGAACTTCCACGTTAGTTCTTACCTGTTGTATTTTGCCATAGGAAGTTCCTCAAGTAACACACAAGGATGACAACAGCCATGGTAGTCTGTGGTTAATCCTAGAATGATTTGGGTTGAAAGGAACCTTGAAGATCGCCCAGTTCAAACCCCCCTGCCATGGGCAGGGACACCTCACCAGAGCGGGTTTGCTCAGAGCCCCATCCAGCCTGGCCTTGGAACACCTTCAGTGATGGAGCATCCACAGCTTCCCTGGGCAACCTGTGCCAGTGTCTCACCACCCTCAGAGTGAAAAAATTCTTCCTAATTTCTAATCTGAATCTCCCCTCTTCCAAGTCTGCACTCATTACCCCTTGTCCTGTAACTACGCTCCCTGAGGAAGACTCCCTTTGTAACATCTTCATGGCATCTGTTACGCTCACCCTCAAAGCTAACCAGGACAGCTCTTATTTTCTTCACAGCCAAACACACAAGGGTGTCAATCCAGCGCTGCCCTCCTGGAATTTGCCTCCAGCTGTAAAGCCCTGGCCAGATTCCTGAAGCCTCCCTTTGTTACAATTTGAGCAGCACTGTTTGATGAGCAGGTTTTGCATGGTTGGCTGCCGTGTGTCCTCCTCCCTGGAGGCAGTGGTGTTCCTCCAGCCGAGGGATTTCTTGGATTAACCTTTCCAGTGCACGACCAGGATCACATTCGCTTCACCTTCAGACCTCACTAGCTCTTAGGCCCCAGTTTTTGAAGGGCTTGTCATGCCTCGCTGCGCTTGGGCTTTCTGCGCACCGAGAACTTGGCATTTCCCTTCAGGAAAGCTGGGATGGGGTGTGCTCAAGCTGCTGGTTTCTCAAATCTGGCTGTTCTGGCCTTTGAGTTGGAACACAGCTTTCTCAGAAGCTGACATTAGGGCTTCAGCGCTGCTGTGTTCTCCTGTCTTTCCCAGGCTCTTCTGTTGCTGCTTCTATGCTATGAGAGTCGAGCCCAAAATTAATCACTTGAAGAGATTAGCTCTTTCAGGAGAAAAGGTATTTTATACAGTCACTGCTAAGCAAGGATCCTTCTGTGGCAGGTCTGGATCTAAACCAAGCCTGGCGGAGGAAGGAGTTAAAAACTTAACAAAAATAGGATTCTTTTAGGCCATTAAAAATTCACAGCGGTTGTCCCCTAAAATGGGCCGTGTACATCTTGCTGAGGCTCATTTTTATGCATTTCTGCACAGTGTGGTTCACTCCTGGCTCCTTACCAAGGCAAGACGAATACAAGTGCTTCTGAAGCAGTATCGCTTAGTATTTTTGACACCTTAAAGGCTGCTTTTGAAGCCAAATATATTTGCTGTCTCTTAACTCTTGGGCTTGTACCCATGTTTACCCACTTACCACCTCTGGAGTCGGTGTGCAGAGAGGGCCCAGACGGGGCACCTGGGCGGGATTATTTTAAGCCCTTAAATAACATCGCGACCCTTCACGAGTGACACTGCGGGTTACCCCGTGGCGGTGCTACACCCAGCGGGAATTCGCGCCTGGGGCCGAGGCTGGTGTGG